GAATCAAGTGTGAGAGTAATGGTGGTTGGGGATTTCAATGCTAAAGTGAGTAAAAATGTTATGGAAGGAGTAGTAGGTAAATTTGGGGTGCCAGGGGTAAATGTAAATGGGGAGCCTTTAATTGAGCTATGTGTAGAAAGAAATTTGGTAATAAGTAATACATATTTTATGAAAAAGAGGATAAATAAATATACAAGGTATGATGTAGCACGTAATGAAAGTAGTTTATTAGATTATGTATTGGTGGATAAAAGGTTGATGGGTAGGCTCCAGGATGTACATTTTTATAGAGGGGCAACTGATATATCGGATCATTATTTAGTTGTAGCTACAGTTAGAGTAAGAGGTAGATGGGAAAAGAGGAAGGTGGCAACAACAAGTAAGAGGGAGGTGAAAGTGTATAAACTAAGGGAGGAGGAAGTTCGGGTGAGATATAAGCGACTATTGGCAGAAAGGTGGGCTAGTGCAAAGATGAGTAGTGGGGGGGGTTGAAGAGGGTTGGAATAGTTTTAAAAATGCAGTATTAGAATGTGGGGCAGAAGTTTGTGGTTATAGGAGGGTGGGGGCACTAGGAAAGAGGAATGATTGGTGGAATGATGAAGTAAAGGGTGTGATAAAAGAGAAAAAGGTAGCTTATGAGAGGTTTTTTACAAAGCAGAAGTGTTATAAGAAGAGCAGAGTATATGGAGAGTAAAAGAAAGGTAAAGAGAGTGGTGAGAGAGTGCAAAAGGAGAGCAGATGATAGAGTGGGAGAGGCACTGTCAAGAAATTTTAATGAAAATAAGAAAAAATTTTGGAGTGAGTTAAACAAGTTAAGAAAGCCTAGGGAAAATATGGATTTGTCAGTTAAAAACAGAGTAGGGGAGTTAGTAGATGGGGAGATGGAGGTATTGGGTAGATGGCGAGAATATTTTGAGGAACTTTTAAATGTTAAGGAAGAAACAGAGGCAGTAATTTCATGCACTGGTCAGGGAGGTATACCATCTTTTAGGAGTGAAGAAGAGCAGAATGTAAGTGTGGGGGAGGTACGTGAGGCATTACGTAAAATGAAAGGGGGTAAAGCAGCTGGAACTGATGGGATCATGACAGAAATGTTAAAAGCAGGGGGAATATAGTGTTGGAGTGGTTGGTACTTTTGTTTAAAAATGTATGAAAGAGGGGAAGGTACCTAGGGATTGGCAGAGAGCATGTATAGTCCCTTTATATAAAGGGAAAGGGGACAAAAGAGACTGTAAAAAATTATAGAGGAATAAGCTTACTGAGTATACCAGGAAAAGTGTACGGTTAGGGTTATAATTGAAAGAATTAGAGGTAAGACAGAATGTAGGATTGCGGATGAGCAAGGAGGTTTTAGAGTGGGTAGGGGCTGTGTAGATCAGGTGTTTACATTGAAGCATATATGTGAACAGTATTTAGATAAAGGTAGGGAAGTTTTTATTGCATTTATGGATTTAGAAAAGGCATATGATAGAGTGGATAGAGGAGCAATGTGGCAGATGTTGCAAGTATATGGAATAGGTGGTAAGTTATTAAATGCTGTAAAGAGTTTTTATGAGGATAGTGAGGCTCAGGTTAGGGTGTGTAGAAGAGAGGGAGAATACTTCCCGGTAAAAGTAGGTCTTAGACAGGGATGTGTAATGTCACCATGGTTGTTTAATATATTTATAGATGGGGTTGTAAAGGAAGTAAATGCTAGGGTGTTTGGGAGAGGGGTGGGATTAAATTATGGGGGATCAAATTCAAAATGGGAATTGACACAGTTACTTTTTGCTGATGATACTGTGCTTATGGGAGATTCTAAAAAAAAAATTGCAAAGGTTAGTGGATGAGTTTGGGAATGTGTGTAAAGGTAGAAAGTTGAAAGTGAACATAGAAAAGAGTAAGGTGATGAGGGTGTCAAATGATTTATATAAAGAAAAATTGGATATCAAATTGGGGAGGAGGAGTATGGAAGAAGTGAATGTTTTCAGATACTTGGGAGTTGACGTGTCGGGGGATGGATTTATGAAGGATGAGGTTAATCATAGAATTGATGAGGGAAAAAAGGTGAGTGGTGCGTTGAGGTATATGTGGAGTCAAAAAACGTTATCTATGGAGGCAAAGAAGGGAATGTATGAAAGTATAGTAGTACCAACACTCTTATATGGGTGTGAAGCTTGGGTGGTAAATGCAGCAGCGAGGAGATGGTTGGAGGCAGTGGAGATGTCCTGTTTAAGGGCAATGTGTGGTGTAAATATTATGCAGAAAATTCGGAGTGTGGAAATTAGGAGAAGGTGTGGAGTTAATAAAAGTATTAGTCAGAGGGCAGAAGAGGGGTTGTTGAGGTGGTTTGGTCATTTAGAGAGAATGGATCAAAGTAGAATGACATGGAAAGCATATAAATCTATAGGGGAAGGAAGGCGGGGTAGGGGTCGTCCTCGAAAGGGTTGGAGAGAGGGGGTAAAGGAGGTTTTGTGGGTAAGGGGCTTGGACTTCCAGCAAGCGTGCGTGAGTGTGTTAGATAGGAGTGAATGGAGACGAATGGTACTTGGGACCTGACGATCTGTTGGAGTGTGAGCAGGGTAATATTTAGTGAAGGGATTCAGGGAAACCGGTTATTTTCATATAGTCGGATTTGAGCCCTGGAAATGGGAAGTACAATGTCTGCACTTTAAAGGAGGGGTTTGGGATATTGGCAGTTTGGAGGGATATGTTGTGTATCTTTATATGTGTATGCTTCTAGACTGTTGTATTCTGAGCACCTCTGCAAAAACAGTGATAATGTGCGAGTGTGGTGAAAGTGTTGAATGATGATGAAAGTATTTTCTTTTTGGGGATTTTCTTTCTTTTTTTGGGTCACCCTGCCTCGGTGGGAGACGGCCGACTTGTTGAAAAAAAAAAAAAAAAAAAAATTCAGGGAAACCGGCAAGCCGGACTTGAGTCCTGGAGATGGGAAGTACAGTGCCTGCACTCTGAAGGAGGGGCGTTAATGTTGCAGTTTAAAAACTGTAGTGTAAAACACTCTTCTGGCAAGACAGTGATGGAGTGAATGATGGTGAAAGTTTTTCATTTTCAGGCCACCCTGCCTTGGTGGGAATTGGCCGGTGTGTTAATAAAAAAAAATAAATAATAATAATAACCAATATTAATATAATATCAAGTCTGGCAGGCCGGACTCGAGTCCTGGAGATGAGAATACAGTGTCTACACTCTGAAGGAGGGGTGTTAATGTTGCAGTTTTATAACTGTAGTGCAAAGCACCCCTCTGGCAAAACAGTGATGGAGCGAATGATGACGAAAGTTTTTCTTTTTCAGGCCACCCTACCTTGGTGGGAATTGGCCGATGTGTTAATAAAAACAAAATAAGGTACAATCAATCAAATGCAGCTCTGGGTTCTGGAGGGATTTCCTGATCTGAGGGGTCTCACATTTTTGGGTCCAAATCTCAGACAATCCTCACAATCAGGAGCCAGATCTGAGGGTGTTTACCTTTCTAAGCCTGTAAATCGAGGACCCTAGAATCCATAAACTCATTTGAACTAAGAAATGGATGTGAGGAATTGTACCATCATCATCTTTACCTTATTTTGCAATTGCATGAGATGTGAAGGCACTTGTGAGGAAGAGATAGAGAGATTATTAAAATTACATTCATGGGTAAGCTATCAAACTTTAACCCTTTGACTGTTTTTGTCATACATATAACTCTTACAAGCCAGTGTTTTTGACGTATTAACACACCAAAATTCTAGTGGCTTTAAATCAAGCGGGAGAAAGCTGGTAGCCCCACATGTGAGAGAATGGGTCTGTGTGGTCAGTGTGCACAGTATAAAAAAAATCCAGCAGAACGCAGTGCATAATGAGAAACAAAAACACCGACTGTATTTTTTTTATTAAAACGCTGATTTTGAGGTGTGTTTTCGTATAGTATTTGTTGTATTCTCGTTTTTTTGGTCTCATTTGATAGAATGGAAGACATATTACAGAAATAGATATGATTTTGATTGGTTTCCTGATGAAAAGAACCTTGAAATTGAGCTCAAAGTAGCAGAAATGTTTGATTTTTGCCGATGTTCAAGAGTAAACAAACGACGTCACCGTCCAATATATGTCCAACTGGCCAGTCTAATACACAGTCATGAATGGGCTGACATTATTTATACAATTATTACAATACTGCAGTAGTCTGCATAACAGTAAATCTTCTATTTTTTGTGTGAATAAAAATTCAAAATAGAAAGCAAGAGTAATATAAGAGGAGCCTGGAGACATGACTAATGAACAAAGAAAATGTTATTTTAGTGCCAGGAATGTCTGCATTGTTTATTCTGGACCCTATTTTGAAAATGGGAATCTTTTTTAATTTGTGTACAATTGGCCAAATTGCCAATTTCTGACCACTTCATTGGGTAGTTGAAATCTGTAAATGGGCAGTTTCTTGTACTCAGTCGATAGAACAAATGGAGTTCTAAAGAAATAGTTATGAATTTGGTTGACTACAACAATGGAATTGGCCGAAAATAGGGCTCAAAGTGGGCGAAATTGCCGATGCTTATGTATCAGTGAGATCGCTAACTTCGCGAGAGCGTAATTCCGTAAATTTTCCATCAAATATCGTACTCTTGGTGTCATTACCATTGGGACAAGATTCTTTATCATTTCATTAGAATTTCTTTTTTTTTTTTTTTAATATTTTGCAACACAAAGACACACTTCAGGATTTGGGGTCTCGACAGTCAAAGGGTTAACAGTCACACAGCACCTCAGGAATGGTAAGTAAACAGATTTAATCCATGAAAAAGGAGGTTAATTCTAATTCCTTGGATTAAGAGCCTTTCACCAGCATCAAGGTAACCTCTTGAAAAAAAAAAATTAGAGAATATGGGTCCCCCCTCACTCAGCATCCTCTTCCTTCTCACAACAGGAGACACAACGTTGCTTCCACACACAAGTGGTGGGAAGTTAGGATACGTCATACATCTTAAAGCATACAGTAACACAACACACATTTTATAATTTACCTTCATATACCTCTCCTCAAATGTGTCCTCCAGTTCTTTCATTCGCTGTGTATCTTCTGCACGACTTATTGTACTCGTGCTCATAACTTCACTCTGACAATCATGGACTGAACCAGGGTCACTATCTAATGGCAGGGCTGTCTGAAAAATTTATGAAGTGGCTTAAGCAATATTTATATTTTTTCATAGTGGTGAGAGAAACTTTCCACAGGTCAAGTACAACAGAAGCAATGGTATCAATATATTTGGGCGGTTAGCAATGTGCAATATCAATATTAGGATTATTAGCAACCTGTGATGTCACTGAAGATGTGGAGGTCAATAGAAACCTTCATTTCTAAGGGAAGCTTCTATCTTGTATCTTCAACATATTGTTTCTTCTATACCTGGAGTTTACCTGGAGAGAGTTCCGGGGGTCAATGCCCCCGCGGCCCGGTCTGTGACCAGGCCTTACCTAATTATCATATGCTCTAAAACTAATTATCATCAGAAAGCCACAGTCATTTTAATAGTACTCAAGTAAAATATAAAGAATGTATCCACTAATCCTTTAGTATTTTATACTCTAAACAACTTTCTACCATCAACAAAATTTTTAATCCGCATACCATATTACATAATAAACTATACTCTAATTCCAGAAACATGGCAAACCACTAACAGTATGGTGAGTAAGATACTGATTGCAGAGGAATCCTTATTGCTACATTGTTTTACCACGAGTTGGCTCTATCATGCACTTGATCAAACTAATCTATAGCAATAAAAAAAAAAAAGTTATAAATGACCATAATTTTTAATTAAAGGTGAGGACTGGTAAGCCAGTGGAAGGCCTCAGTCAGGTGACCAAAAGCTCCAATGGCTGGTCATCATCTGACTTAGACCTGCATCAGGAAACCCTTGTCCTGTTGCCTGACGAGCCTTACTTAACCCGTGGCAACACATCATACTAATAAATATTTCTGTACAGTCTTACTCAAAATATTGTAATTAGTCAGTATGTCTGCATTTCATTTCTTGCATTTTCCTTTCATTCCATCATTCTTTCTAATTACCACCCTCTAAAAAAAATAACAGCAAGACTCAAACTAAGTATCCTCAAACCACCTCAGTCATTACATATCTTTGAACATTCCTAATACATTTAATTCTACACTCTACTTTTTGTTTTTATTTCACCTATATTCTAGACTGTAGTCCCATCCACCAGAATAAAATGCATCCATTACACTAACTTTCATGCTCTATTGCATAAAATTAATATAATAATCAAGATACTGCTAATTGAGGGTTTTAACTCTAAGGCATAGATCAATACCTTCTTTAAATTAGTCTTCTCTTGCTCCAGTGTTTTAACCTCAGAGTCACTATTGTGATGGTCATTTTGTGCAGGAGAAGTGACTGTAGAATCACTGTTAAATGAGTGAAGCCTCTCTGTGATGGTCTGTAGTTGTTCTTGCTTACTAGCTAATTCAGCTTCATACTTGTACATATGTGGAGAAAACACAAAGATTAATAAAATATTCTAACTATTTACAAAAAAAAATCTTGATGAAGTAAAAGGCATTCTCTTGTTGCTCCAATAGTAATGTTTATAGAGAAAACAGAGATAAAAATCTCTCTATAAAAAAAAAAAATGCATGGGTGGCAGTGTACTGAGGGTGTATGGACACAAAAATCATATAATGACAGACTGGTGAAGAAGGTATACATTAATACAGATGGCAAATGGAAAGGTATAGATACAGTATAAAAATGTTTTTGTTAATAACTCAGAAACTTAACTGATTACAGAACTTTTGTGGAAAATCATGGACTGTATCAACAGCCACAAATTATTCAAAAGTTAAGCAATTTACCTTCACTTTTAATTCCTTTAACTGAATAGTAGTTTTCTCTAGTTCTTCAGATTTTTCTTTGTTAGAATCCTCTAGTCGGGATATCCTTTCTCCTCTTTCCCGGAGAATCTTATTCATTCCATTCAGCTCAGTCAGAAGATCCTCACACCGACCAGTGGACGCCTCAATGGAAGACCTCAGCTGAAGCTTTTGGTTGTCTGCATCTTTAAGTTCCTTCTCTATGTGTTCCTTTTCATGTTTTAAAGCCTGAGAAAATTGTGGTCTGACTGACTACAAATATTATGTAGTAAATTTAATGTCATACCTAGATACGACTTGGTAACTTACTGAAGGTACCAGGTTAATCCATATAAGTGCAAAGTAAGTTCACAAGAGAACAGCAATTTAATTGGTAGTGTTCGTATCTACCTTACTCTACCTTACTGCAATAATACATGTACACAGCTCCACTTCAAATATCTGGGTGAGGTACCATAATTATAGATTCTCTGTGTAACAGATATTCTTTTCTTTCTGTCAACAAACTGGCCGTATCCCACCGAGGCAGGGTGGCCCCCCCCCCCCAAAAAAAAAAAAGTTTCTCAGATATATTCTGGGAAAATTAAACAAGATGATTAGGATAAATCTATTAAAATTGGAAAAAAGAGTAAACGAACTTAAATCTGTAGCACCAAAGAACAGTACATTACTACAGTATTTGTATCATAAACTGAAAATGAATACCAAATGGCACTCTCAAGTTATCGAAACCAAAAACATATTAGTTTCAATTACTACAGAAAATATCAAAACAAGAAATCTCAAGACACAATGTTACTGATTGTCTTACCTGTATTTCATCTTTAGCAACCTTCATGTTACTCTGGAACTTATTTGCATCCTCAATAAGTTGCTCTATTTTTGTCTGAAGTGTCTGGATTTTTGTCTGAAGAACATTATTTTCTCCCTTCATAGCTGCAGCTTCCTGGATCTGAATCTCCTGTTCCATAATGATGGCTTCAAGTTTTTCTTCTAGCTTTCTTTTTTCTTCAGTTAAACTTTCTTGTACTAATTTCTTGCTTTCATTCAGAGAAGTGTAGTCCTGCTCATGTATAATTATTTCATTAAATGCTATTGCAAGTTTGTTTTCCAAATCCTGCTTTTCATCTGACCAAATTTTCTCCTTGGCAGCATCCTGCTTAGTAATATTATCCACAGCATTTTTTAAACTTTCATTCTCTTGTTTAACAGCATTCTTCTCAGAAACTAAAACATCTTTCTCTATAGAGAGGCTCTGAAGATCTTTAACTTGCTTTTCAATTATTTGTTCAAATTTTTCCGTTTCTGTAACAGCTTCTTTATACTTCCTGGCCAAAGCTTCACATTCAGCTTTAACAATAGTGAACTGCTCTCTTGATTCATCAACTTTTTCTTTGTTTTGACTGTCTCCCGACAATAACTTAGTTTCTAGTTCAATTCTTTTGTTTTCTGATGACAGCAACTTTACTTCCAACTCTGATATTCTTTCTTTTAAAAGTAGTTTTTCTTCCTCAATGGACTGATTAAACAGCTTGTGAGATTTCTCATAATCAGCAATGATATTATTGTGGTTCTCCAACTGTTCATTTTTCTCTTTAACAATACTCTCAATGTGGTTTAAAGAATCATTCAATTTTTGAGAAATAATTTCTTTTTCCTTTTCTGTCTCAACAGCTATATTTTCAAGATGAGTTTTCTCTTTTCTCAACTCATCTACTGTGCTTGTAACATTATTCAATGTTATTCTTCCTTCTTTCAAAACTGTACACAGCTTAGCAAATAGTGATGATATATCCTTGAATATTTCTTCCACAGGCAAATCCTTTTCAACTTCAAGTATCCCAGCAGCATGCATATAAAATGTTACTAAGCTTTTATTGATATTGTTGAAGCCTGAGGACAGAGACTCCCAAGCTGAAAAGTCCCTCGACTCAATCAGGTTTTTACTCTGTTCCTGAACATGGCCAAGAGCATGAACTATACACTGCATATTTTTCTCAAGTGAGAAATTATCCCTTTTGGCAAGTGCTGCTGAAAGAATTTCTTCAACAATTTGCATCATGGTCAGGACATCTTCATGATCATCTATAAACATAGTCTTGCTTATGGTAGGGTACATTCTTTTGCACATTGAAATTATGGAAATCCCACTGTTTTGCAATTTACCCAGTAAAATTTTTGTACTTTCAGCCTCTTTCTGAATTAGTTCCACTTGGGAATTTAATTCTGCATTCTCGGATTTTAGCTCTTTTATGTGTTTGCTTAAGTGATCAGCTCTATCCTTTTCTACTGCAGCACTTTCAGAGCTTTGTTCTACTTCTTCAACAAACTTAGAAATCTTTATTTCCATGGACGTTTTTTCCCTCTGTACAACCTCTACATTTTCCCTCATTAGAGATACTTCATTTTCTAAATCTTCAGAGCTTTTTAATAATTTCTTATTTTCTTCAGTAAGTTGCTGTACTTCAAGACTTAACTTATTAACCTGTGCAATCAACTCATCAGACTCTTTTTGATTTTCAATGAAGACAATATGTTCCAAATCTCTCTGTTTTGAATGTTCAATTAATTTCCTGTTTTCTTCTTCTGTTTCTTTCAACTTAGCAGTTAAATCATTTTTCTCTCTTTCATTATTACAAGACTCTTCTTCCATTACAGTGTGCTTATTTTTTAAATCCACTAAATCTACCCACATCATCTTCAATTTATCTTCATTTTGCCTTTTTTCTTGCATTAAGAGTTCTTCTCTAGATTTTAGGTGCTCAATTTCCTCCTGCATAGATCTTTCTGCAATGGATCTTTCTTCTAGTAATTTTTGTAATTCTAAGTCTTTCTGTTGATTATTTTTTTCAATTTCCACAATTTTTTCTTTGAAGCATTCAACTTCTGTGGGAGACATAGCTATTTGATCAGTTTTCTGTGTTTGTAATTCAGTGAGAATCTGTTCAAGATGGCTGTTTTTGTCTAATTCTATCTTTAGCTCCTCCTGTAATGTGTTTACCTTTGTTGCTAATGCCTGATGTTCTGTTTCCAGTTCTGTCTTTGTACTTTCAAGGAATTCTTTCTCTTCTTCAATTTTCAGACAATTTTCCTGCATTTCTTTGAAATGATTTTTTAAATCAAAAATGGATGTATCCTTTTCTTTCACCATATTTTCCAGTTCCTGTATTCTATCTTGACTCAAATTAAGACTTTTATGCACATCTTCCTTCTCTTTCTTTAATTTCAGATCCTGATTCTCAAGATCTTTAATCTTACCTTCAAGAGTCTTTTTCTCCTTCTTTGAACTTTCTACAATAATGTCTAAAGCCTTTTTTTCTTCTTTCAAACATTTCAATTCACCCTGTAACCTGATACTCTTAGCTACAAGCTTTTGTTGGTTTTTTAACTCATTTTCAAGTTCAGACTTTTCCTCCAGAAACTTCTTGCATTTTGTCTTGAGGATGTCCACCTGACCAATCTGTACTTGAAGATTTTCCAGTTTTTCCTGTAATTTTAAATACTAAAATAAAAATACAGTATATAAAACTTGGAAATACTGGTTGACCATCACTAATCTGGCATCATCAGGACCTGTAGGGTGCTAGATGAGTGATTTTGCTGGATTACAGAGTGCTTACGTTAGAATACACTTAACCCAATGGCAATATTTACGCATCGACAATTTCACCCAGTTTATGCCCTATTTTTGACCCATTCCATTGTTCCAGTCTACCAAACTCATAGCCATTTCACTAGTATTCATTCTATTCTGTCGACCGAGTACAGGAAATTGCCCATTTACCTATTTCAACTACCCAATAAAGTGGTCAGAAATCAGAAATTTGGCCAATTTCACACAAATTTCAAGAGATGCCAATTTCACAATAGGGTCAGAATAAAAAATGAAAACATTCCTGGCACTAAAATAATATTTACTCTGTTCATTAGTCATGTCTCCAAGCCCCTCTTATATTATTACACTTGCTTTCCATTTTGTATTTTTATTCACACAAAAAATAGAAGATTTACTGTTATGCAGATTACTGCATTATTGTAATAATTGTATAAATAATGTAAACCCATTCATGACTGCGTATTAGACCGGCCAGTTGGATACTTATTGGACGGTGACGTCATATGTTTACTCTTGAACATCGGCAAAAATTGAACATATCCGCTACTTTGAGTTAAATTTTAAGGTACTTTCTGGCATAAAACCAATCAAAATTATGCCTATTTCTGTAATATATCTTCCATTCTATCAAATGAGACCAAAAAACCGAGACTACAACCATACAAACCATACGAAAATACACCACAAAATTCTTGTTTTACACCAAAAGCACGGTCGCTATTTTTTCTCATTATGAACTACATGTTGCAGGTTTTTTTTATATAGTGCATATAGACCTATTTTCTCATATGTAGGCCCAAATTTACCAGTCACAACTTATTGAGTGAGTTGAACTCATGGTGACCAACAGTGGCTTCAAAGTCACCTTATCTTTAATGGATAATGGACAGTGTATGTGCTTTACACAATGAGAAGCATTTCTTTTACTCGTTGGAACTATAGCTAGAGCTAAAATGAACAGGTTATAACAATAAATGGAGAAAAACAAATTTGAATGACTTCTGCAACAAGTAGCACCACCAAACAAGAGCAGCAGGTTGTTGTAGTGACCTTAGAATTTTGAAATTATGCTAGCCAAAAATTAGTGCCGGATTACTGATGGAACTGGATTACTGACTGCCGGATCAGTGATGGCCAACCTGTACTATAGCAAAGATTATTATCAATAAAACTAGGTTAGATTAAATAAACAAGCAAGAAATAATGTAAATGAAAACAAAAAGTTTTTTAAACTGGAAGCATTGAGAAATATGATTCAGCTTGCTCTGGTGTATGATAATGAAATATGGAGGTGTAATTTTTCAATATGTATCAGAAAAAGTAAATGCAGTACAAAAGAATTTAATTAGGGCTGACTGTAATGATTAACCAAATTAATGCGAGAGGTGCAGAAGAAATAACAAAAATTTGTTGAAATAAAGAACAAGGCACTTAAGAGAACTGGAGGACAGGGAAAGAACGAGTTGACAAAGTGTGAATGAGCAGAAAAGAGGGAAACTATGAAAAGCTAGAGAAATAAGCAGACAGATTGTTGGAAAGATCATACAGTTACTGTGTGACTTGGTATAGAGGAATGCACTGTAGGACACTGGTATAAGCATAAGAATGCCTGGCTGGATAAAACTATACTTACCTTCCAGTCAGTGGAAAATGGTGTAATAAATTTACATTGATGCAATGCTACTGCTGTTGCTGCATTTGTAAGGGGAAAAATTTTCTTGACATGGAATGTTGTCATATCATGACCTGTTCTGTGTGCCATTGCCCCTATGATGAGGGCATGGCAAGAAGCAACACCTAACAAATGGTGCTAAAGTTTGCAGTCTACTAACACAAATTAGAAAGTGCAGTAAAATATCACTTTAATTAACCCCGATTTAACAGATTTCGGATTTAACTGACAAAATACTAGTTAAAGAACATCTGGAAACAGCACAGATCATTAAATCAGAATTGTCTTTTAACTGTTGTGGTCTGCTGAGTAAACTGGTTTTTGGATTTAAAGGACAAAGTTGCTAAATGCAGAATTATTCATTACTATTATGATCATGGAAAAACAGTCTTACCATCTGGATTTAATGGACAGCTGGCTTTAACAGACACTTTCTCATCCCCTGTATTATTTTAAATTAAGAGCTCACTGTAGCTGCCACTTGCAATAGTGGCAGGTTATAGCAGAGTGACTGCTGGCCTACTAGTCAGACTTGATGGTCTGAGTGGGTCATAACTCTGAGCAAGCTATAAACAAAGTGTAACATAAAGGAGCTTATATAAAATTTGAATTTGACAATGAGAGTAATTACAAGTACTAACAATTAGAAAAATAAGTACCTATTTGATCATCATGTAACTGGTGATTCATTACCAATCACTCTCCTATAACCCATTCACTACAGTATTTGGAAAAGCTGTGTCTATAGATAAAACATTATATAACTCATATGGTTGATATCTTCCTGGTCTTAACTTACAAATGAATTGCACCCAAGGTGCAACTTATTTTTAAGTTAAAACACAAGAATAAAACTCATTTGTGCAACTCATATGAAACACTCATGTGCAACTCATTCATATGATGAAACACTGGTGTGCAACTCATTCATATGATGAAACACTGGTGTGCAACTCATTCATATGATGAAACACTGGTGTGCAACTCATTCATATGATGAAACACTGGTGTGCAACTCATTCATATGATGAAACACTGGGGTGCAACTTATTTGCATGTTGAGCACCTGAAGTATACATATGGTATAAGAGTACAGTATCCCCATTATAGAAAGGTAATATTAAAAATATTATACCAATATTGCCCATTACTAGGTAGGGCTATATACATGCAATATGAATAGTCTGCTTTATGTTATACATTGTACCAGTCTCTATGAGGATGTCCTGTAATGTACAAACCTGATAAGCAATCTTTTCTGTTTCCCAGGCTTTTGCGAGAAGTTCAGATTTCTCAGCAGATGAAACCTGTAATTCTTGCAACTTCTGAAGAGTTGCTTCATTTTCTTTCAGCAACTGATGGTTCTGTGCCTCTAGACTATTTCTCTGTTGCATTAACTCTTTCTCTGTTGACTGAAGAAAATCCACTTCACTTGAGGAAACTTTTAACTGCCGCTGAAGAGACTCAATCTGCCAGTAATTAATGCTGGTCATTTATATTTGAAATATAAAAATATAAAAATAAAGTGCATACATGTTTGTACAAGAACTCTTATCACACAACCAATTTAAGATACAGGGAATACTAGTAAAAAACAAAACTGATTATAAATTACAGCAGCGTATTCACGCAGTCTTGTACTGTACAATTTATTTTGTATTATAATTTAATAACTTTCAGTTTTATAAAGTTTTTCTCCTTCTCTGAAGGAGGGGTGTTAATGTTGCAGTTTAAAAACTGTAGTGTAAAGCACCCTTCTGGCAAGACAGTGATGGAGTGAATGATGGTGAAAGTTTTTCTTTTTCGGGCCACCCTGCCTTGGTGGGAATCGGCCAGTGTGATAATAAAAAAAAAAACTTTCAGTTCTCAAGAGTTAGGGTTAGTGCCATGTTGTAAAAAATTACCAGGATAAGCAAATGACACAGGTAAGCTTTGATGTAACTGAAGTATGATTCGATTTAACAAATATTTAATAACACAAATTATTATTTTAAACAATTTTTCTTGACTTTCACACAAAATGATCAGTAACTTTGCTGTAAAAGTCTGACTCGCTCTGAAGATTCTGAAATACTACAGTGGAACCGCGGTGGTCAAACTTAATTCGTTCCAGATGTCAGTTCGACAACTAAAATGGTTGAAAAGTAAACCAATTTTTTCCCATAAAGAATAATGTAAATAGAATTAATTTGTTCCAGACCAAAAATGACTATTTTTTTTTTTCAACACGTTGGTCGTCTCCTACCGAGGCAGGGTGACCCAAAAAGAGAGAAAATCCCCAAAACGAAAATATGAACTTTCATCATCATTCAACACTTTCACCTCACTCGTACATAATCACTGTCTTTGCAGAGGTACTCAGATACGACAATTTAGAAGCCCCTCCAAGCTGCCAATATCCCAAACTCCTCCTTTAAAGTGCAGGCATTGTACTTCCCAGTTCAAGGACTCAAGTCCGGCTAACTGGTTTCCCTGAATCCCTTCACAAAGTATTACCTTCCTCGCACTCCAACAGCTCGTCAGGCCCCAAAAACCATTCGTCTCCATTCACTCCTAACACGCTTACAGATGCTTGCTGGAAGGCGAAGCCCCTTGCCAACAAAACCTTCTTTACCCCCTCCCTCCAACCTTTTCGAGGATGACCATACCCCACCTTCCTTCCCCTACAGATTTATATGCTTTCCAAGTCATTCTACTTTGATCCATTCTCTCTAAATGACCAAACCACCTCAACAACCCCTCTTCAGCCCTCTGACTAACACTTTTAGTAACTCCACACCTCCTCCTAATTTCCACACAACGAATTCTCTGTATAATATTTACACCACACATTGCCCTTAGACAAGACATCTCCACTGCCTCCAGCCGCCTCCTTGCTGCAGCATTCGCAACCCAAGCTTCACACCCAGATTAGATTAGATTACATTTTTTATTTTGACAAATTACATGGTTGTACAGATGAATATAATAGTTGGGTGTACATGCCAAAAGCCCCTCTGTATGCTGAGTGTTGGTACCACTATACTTTCATACATTCCCTTCTTTGCCTCCATGGATAATGTTTTTTGTCTCCACAGATACCTCAATGCACCACTCACTTTTTTCCTTCATAAATTCTATGCTTAACCTCATTTTTCATAAACTCATCCACTGACAAGTCAACTCCCAAATATCTGAAAACATTTACTTCTTCCAATCTCCCTCTTTCCAATGTGATATCCAACTTTTCTTTATCACCTTACTCTTATCTATGTTCACTTTCAACTTTCGACCTTTACACACCCTCCCAAACTCGTCCACTAACCTTTGCGACGTTTCTTTAGGATCTCCCATAAGCATAGTATCATCAGCAAAAAGTAACTGTGTAAACTCCCAATTTGTATTTGATTCCCCACAATTTAACCCCACTCCTCTCCCCAATACCCTAGCATTTACTTCTTTTACAACCCCATCTATAAATATGTTAAACAACCATGGTGACATTACACTTCCCTGTCTAAGACCTATTTTACGGGGAAAGTAAATCCCCTCCTAACACCTTAACCTACCCACCAATCCTCATAAAACCTTTCCGCATTTAGTAACTTACCCCCATTCCATACCTTGAAACATCTGCCACATTGCTCCCCACCCTCTATCATTCCCTTTTTCAAAACCCCTTGTGCAATAAAAACTTCCCCTACCTTTATCAAAAATACGTTCACATTATTTCATAATCCCTACCCATTTAAAAGCCACCTTGCCATTTTTAACCCACTCTGTCTTACCTCTACTTCTTTCAAAAAATAACGTTTGGGTAGCTTTACCCGGTTACTCGGAAAAACCTTTCCCCTATAATTTTTAAAATCTCCTTTGCCCCCTTCCCTTTCTATAAAGGAACTTAAATCACACTCTCTCCCAACTTGGGTTTTTTTTTTTTTTTCAACAAGGGGGCCGTCCCCCCACCGAGGCAGGGTGACCCAAAAAGAAAGAAAACCCCCCAAAAAGAAAATATTTTTCACATATTCAACACTTTCACCACCCACACATTATCACTTTTTTTGCAGAGGTGCTCAGAAACAACAGTTTAAAGCATATACATTAAAGATACCAAATACCCCTCCAAATGCCAATCCCCAAACCCCCCCTTTTAAAGTCAGGCATTGACTTCCCTTTTCCCAGGACCAAGTCCGACTAAAAGAAAAAAGGGGTTTTCCCTGAATCCCTCACTAAATTTTACCCGCTCACACCCAACAATCGTTAGGCCCCCAATTACCTTTCGCTCCCACCCTATCAAAACCCGCTCCGCACGCTTGCGGGAAGTCCAACCCCTTCCCCACAAAACCCCCTTTTAAACCCCCTCTCCCCAACCCTTTCGGGACGACCCCTACCCCCTTCCTTCCCCATTAGATTTAATGTTTTTTCAGTCTTTCTATTTGTCCTTTCCTCAAATGACCAAACCCCCTCAACAACCCCTCTTCCCCCCTCTGACAAAACCCTTTATTAACTCCACACCTTTTCCTAATTCCACAACCAAATTTTCTGCAAAATATTTCACCACACTTGCCCTTAAACGGGACATCCCCCTGCCTTCCAACCATCCCCTCGCTGCGCATTTCCCACCCAAGCTTCACACTCTAAAGGTTTTTGGGTATACATACTATACTTTAATACTTTCCCCCTTTTTTGTCTCCAAGAAAACGTTTTTTGCTCCACATTACCCAACGCCCACTCACCTTTTTTTCCTCATAAATTTCTATAAATTAACCTCATCCTTAAAAAATCCATCCGCCGACACGTCAACTCCCAAGTATCTGAAAACTTTTACTTCTTCCATACTCCTCCCCCCCCAAAAATTTGATATCCAATTTTTCTTTATCTAAATCTTTTGATACCCTCACACTTACTCTTTTCTGTTCACTTTAACTTTCCCCTTACACACTTTTCCCAAACCATCCACTAACCTTTGCAATTTTTCTTTGAAACCCCCAAAAGCACAGTTCATCAGCAAAAAGAAGGGTTTAAATTCCCATTTTGAATTTTGTTTCCCCAAAATTTTAATCCACCCCTCTCCAAACACCCAGCTTTTATTTCCCTTTTACAACCCCATTTTAAAAATAAAATTAAAAAACCCAGGTGAATTCACATCCCTGTCTAAGACCTACTTTTACCGGGGAATAGTCTCCCTCTCTTCTACACACCCCAAACCTGCCCACTACCCTCATAAAAATTTTACAGTTTTAATAATTTTACCCCCTAGGTACCTTCCCCATTCTACATGTTTTAAAAACAAAAATCCCAACCACTAAAACACATATCCCTCCTGATTTTAACATTTCTGTCATGCCCCCATCATTCCACTGTTTCCCCCCTTTCTTTTATTCCTCACATCCCCCCCACACTCACACCTCTCTTCTTCACCCCAAAAAAGATGTTATCGTACCCCCGGTCAGTGCATGAAAGCACCACCTCCCTTTCTTCATCGACTTTTAAATTTCCTCAAAACACCCTGTCATCTACCCAATACCTCCATTCCCCCCATAATAACTGCCCTATCTTTTTTTAACTGACAAATCCAGTTGCTCCCAGGTTTCCTTAACTTTTACTCATCCCAAAATTTTTTTTTTTTTCACAAAATTTCTTGATAGTGTTTCCCCCACTCATCTTTTTGCCACAAATACAATTATTAATTTAAAATAAAAGTTCTAAGTACACATAAAATGTGTGTAAAATTAAAGCACAAAACACAAACGAAAAAAAGAATACAAATAAAAATTTAAAAACTGTTATTGTACAGAAAATAAAAATTTAAAACGGGCTCAGGGGAGCTAATGAAAAATTCGGGGCTTAAAATTTGCAGGAGAAGTGGTAGCCTCATTGATGAAGGGGTCATAGGGTAAAGGGGCAGTATAAAAAAAACCCTGAGCACACATGAGGGGGAAAAAAACTACACTGTGTTTTATTTTAAAAAACAGGGGGCTTTATGGGTATTTTTGTATGGAAATTTGGTTGTATTCTCATTTTTTTTGGGCTCATTCAAAAAAATGGAAGATATATTACAGAAATGAGATGTTTTTTAAAGGGTTAAAAAACTAAAATACTTAAAATTGAGTCAAAGTAGCAAAAAATTTTTAAATTTTTTGTCGATGTTAAAGAGTAAACAATCACATCACGTATCCAAATATATTCAACGGGTGGGTCTAATATGCATTCACAAAATCCTGATATTATTTATACAATTTTTAAAATTTTAAAAAGTGTCTGAAAAAAAGTAAATTTTTCTATTTTTTGGTAAATAAAAATTCAAAATGAAAAGAAAGTGTAATATAAGAAGGGTCGGGAATGGAAAATAAACAATAAAAGTTTTTTTAAAGTGCCGGGAAGTCTGCATATTAAAAGCGGACCCTTTTTAAAAATTTTGGCATTTCTTGAATTTTGTTGAAATTGGCCCAATTACAATTTCAGATCACTTTACTGGGTAGTAAAATGG